AAATCTCTCTTTCTCGCTTCAGGCTTCGCTCCTTACTGTTAGGAAGTTTAGAATCTAGCAGACAGTTAGCCTTATAACGCTTATAACTACGTACGTTTCTCCTAAGCCGTAGCCTCGGAGGCGTATATATATAGCTATATAGGCGGATTACTATTAGTAGTCTCCGCTTGCCTTTCGGCGTGTTCTTCTTCTAGTAGGGAGGTCTCTTATAGCAGGCGCCTCGCGGTTAGCACCTCGTCTAGGGATTTATTAAGAAACTAGCAAGCGCTTCGTAATTAGCACCGCGCGTGGGGGATAGTTATAGTTAGGGAAGTTGTTATCCCTTATGGGATTCGTAAATCTTCGCCTTTATAGCGTGAAGAGGTTAGAAGACCGTCGATTCGGTAAGTCTCTTCTTCTAGTAATTAAAAACGCGTAATAGAACGCTCTTGCTAGCGATAATTAGCTACGATTAACCTTATCCCGCCTAGGGTAAGCATAGCAGTCCCTAGGTTACTCGAATAATCGGATTGCTAGTAGATTCGAGGAAAAGAAGCTTTCTTCTACTAGTTTCCGTAGATCCTAGTTACTCTCGCTTCTTCTCTCGTTAGCACGAAATCCCTACTTTTACCTAGGCTTAGGTATCCAGTTCAAGAAGTCGTCTCTTCTAGTGTTGACCTTGCTAATCTGCGGTTTATCCGTAGCAGAGTAGTAATTATGAAGTTAACTAAATTAATAGCAACTATAAGGTTTACTACTGATCAGTATAGGTTTCATAGGGGGTAAAACGGAATTCCGTTCGTCAATAATAAATAACAGTAAATTAGTTCTAATCGATAGTTCATAATAGTTAAAAGTAGTGTTGTTAACTAGAAGGTAGGGATATCCCCCCTTGGCCTGTCACGTAGGTCTGGGAGGCTTGGGCCTCTCAGCCTGGCGGGCGTGTGGCTGGAAGTGCCACACGACTCCGTATTCCAACTATCGCAACAGTAAGGAACAGTCACGTTGCTTAAACCTACATTGTTACCCCTAAACCCATCCTCGTACTATTGCAACAGTCCAATGACTATACGAAGTAGTCATACCCAGTAAGTTATCCGTGATAGCTGACAATTAATTGAATGCAGCCCTTTTTAAGTTTTTCTTTTGAAAAGGATAATTCACAAGGTGAGGAACTTGGAAACCAAACAGGTCTATTTAAGATTGATTTTTAGGCCATTCGTTTGTATACGTGGAATAGCGAAACAGAACGTGAAATTTCCTACGCAATGCCTCTCAATCTTCATGATTTGAGCTAAAATGACGAAGGGAACATGAGGCGCACCAAGTCTGTGGTTCGCCATTAAACATGTCAAGATAGAAAGTTGTAGTTCGCTAGATAGAACGCCTTCAAGTTCCTTGTTTTCCACCCCCACTCGCGTATACAATTCAAGTAAAGCCATTGCACCGTTCTCATGTTATCTATATTATGTAAGTAAGGCGCTGCCAAGTGTGGGCTCGTCATCAATAAGACGAGCGACCTACAATTCCCTTGTGCATTGCTACCATTGACCTTATAGCAATCAGGAGCTCCCAACGCATGATTGATTCTTCGTCGGGTGTCAGGCTGAACAAAGTCATCGTGATCAACATTGCAAACGCACTGAAGAACATAGAAAGCATTCGACTTGTTCGAGCCATTGTCATTTGTCGCTCGTAATATAAGTACGAAAGACAAGGTAAGTTTTGGCGATGTACAAAGGCACCCATTAACAGGCGCACTGTGGACTTATTTACTATTGTTTCTGGCATAACTACGGTCACCAGAGACCTTCCGAACGGTTATAATCGGTATAAATTTGGTCAACACAACTATATGCCAGTGGTTGAAGCCCAAATTGGCTTCTGGATGGGGTATAACTCTGAGCCCAACTGCTGATGACCATGACGCTAGGTGCACATGAGCCAGAGAGTGTGTTCTCACAACCTGCGGAACAGCTATAGCAACTCTACGAAATTTTTATTCTCGATCAATTCTTTTACCAAAGAATCCAACGTTGAGGGTACTTGTGGGCTGAATACATCGGGCCAAGAACCCAGGTGTATTGCTTCGCTATGCCGGGGAAAGCCACAGCCGAGGACCCTTGCTCCCAGGCTAATCGTGCATCGTGGCGCAGAACAGCGACAACCAGAACAACTGAACTGCGGTCAAGGAAAAACAGTAATAAAAAATGAAAAAAGACGACGTCGTCATATCAGTCAATCGAAGAAACAAACTAAGGGTTCATCTAATCTCTTTTTTTTCCTCGGGCCGTTGGGGGAGGAAGATCGATCTCGGCACGGGAGCAAGCCCGATTTGTCGCCCTGTGCCAGCCAAGACCTCGCCAGCCCCTCCTCTGAGAGGAAACAGTTACGCGATATTTACATGATGAAAACCCTCAACAAGCCCAGCCGAGCACGTCAATCGCAAATACACCCACGTTTCCCGTCCCGCAGCATCGGGAACGGCAACGCCCTGTTCCACAATTAGCGATTTGAGGCTCTAGCTTTCTTTGACGACAGTTCGTTCGCTCGGGGGTGTGGTTCGCGATATGTTTTTGTGTATGGGTGGTGCGGAGTGCTTTAAAGCAACGACAATCACCTCTTGCCCGAGTCAATTCGTTCGTTATCTTATCTTTGCTTGACGCCCCCGCCCGCCCAGACGGTGCATGCGCCACACACACACACTCTCTCTCACTCACTCATACTCTCTCTCACACAAACACACACACACACAACACCATTTGCGCCCGCAACGCAGTCCCCAGAACCCACCTCTTGCGCCCGCAAGATCCAGACGCCCGGGTCCTCTGGGACCTGTTCTCTCAAGCCGTCTGCTATCTTCAAGTCAGGAACGCTTCTGTTTGGTGCGCGACGAGAGAAAGAGAAAAGATACACAACAAGGGGCGAACCGTCCCGAAATCTGGGGAAGAGATCGCGATTCTTTCTTAGCCTGGCCTTGTCTTGCAGCTTTGACAGCCGGAGCCGCATTGCCAAAACGACGACATTCACGATGCGCACTATTTTGACCTCATTCGCATCGTAGCAATTCCCCTCCGTACAGAGTTTCGCCAAGACGTTGCCCCCATGGCATAACAGCTGACAATTTCCCACTTGGCGCTCCTCCCCTCTATCCTCCTACTTCCCTTTCCCATTGCCACACACTCTGTGCCCCGTCTCGCTTCTCGCTCTCTTTTCCCGACTTCTCCCACTTCTTTCACAACCGAGGAAGTACAGGGAAAAAAAAAAAAAAGAGATAAGATATGCCCCCCAAAGTCTCTCAGTGCGACCCCCGTGCCGTCCCACTCAAGATAATCCTCCCGTTTGCCCCTTGCACGCCTTTTTCATGTCATTGACGCCCAAGACCCATAAAGTCTTTTTTTTCCCCCTGTGGTCGCCGACGGCGTGACAAAGTGGGCACATAAAATTGTCGAATCTCAGGCGGGGGTGGCAGCCAGTCAGAGCCAGATTCCTTATCTCTGCGACTTCGGTGCGGGTGGGTGGGGATGTTGGGTGGCTGACAGGGTTACCAGGGCAAGACCACACACCAGTTCGACCTTAACGTATGTGTCGCTCATTAACGACTAGGGGGGGCTTTCTCAGGGTGGCAGCCCAAAGGTAAAAACCCGGGATGCCAGATCGACTAGGGATAAACCCCATGCCGTCAATTGATTATCACCCTGGTTTACTCAACTGCAACGTGCTGCAGCGGCATGACACGGTCTTGAGTACGTCCGAACGGAGATACTTACACCAGCTCGCTCAAGGTGCGAGGGATTGTGGGCTCCCTCTCGCAAAATCGCTGTTTAACCTGAACAAATTGATGGATGGGCCGGCAACCCCGCGGAACATCCCTCAGACTCGTCCAGATACGGTAAGAATGTTGTAAAGTGAAGGAGAAGCAGGTTTCGCCAAGTAAACAACATGCGAGCTCTAAACACAAAGCGCACTGATAGTTGGTATTATTTCCTCGTATCACCCTCCAACTTCCCCCCTTCTTCTCTTACAGCAGGCAGGGGTGAGTTTGGCCGTCGTCCGGCCTCGTTAAAGGATAGAAACCCCTGGTCGGCTTTTTTACCCACGCCGACTTGGCCGAAAGTGACGTTGGCTGAAATGTGCCAACCAGCCAAGAATAGCTGGATGAAGTTTATTGAATGAAAGAAAATGGAAAAAGAGAAAAAAAAAAAAAAAAACGAGGCGGGAAAAGCATGTCTTGAAACCAGGTCTCGTCCGGGGAACGTTAGCACAGACTCCCGGTAGGGAAACTCTCATCTCTCGAGTCGTGCGCAGAAAGCATACAGGCGGACAAGTAAAAAGTCAGTCAAATATCTCATCAAGTACAATCTTAATTTGAAAGGACACAGCACAGCCCACTTGTGCCGATGATGAGCCAACTTGGGAGAGTAGGAACAGGGTCGGGCGGCCGGTCTGATGTTCAAACCGGGTTTGCGAACGAATCAAGAGTACAGATGACGGAAATAAAGCTCGTGCCAAGCGGACGGCAGCGTTTCGATACTTTCAAGTCCTCCCACCGACTTGTGACACCGCAAGAATCCGCCAAGACACCCAGGTGCGCTGTTTCTTTTTCCCTTCTCGTTATTTTTTCTTTCCCCCTTGTGTGCTCCTGCCTTTCCGGGCGTGGTGAAGGATGAAACATTGAGTGGCACTGAAAGTCGTGATCGGCGCATCGCAGCATCGGAGCCTTTCAGCTAGAATCGTTCTCACTGAAGTAAATTTGGACTTGTCATCCTTGTACCAATCTTTTCAAGACTAATAATTATTCAAGGTATTCAAATAGATTGCTTGCAGCGTACTATTTATCATGGGTATTAATACAAACGAATACTTGTGCTCGCTTCGCATTTCGCGGGATATCCTTCCATCAAAAACGTCAAAACCCAGTAGATAAAATCCAGCCTGTAGAAACGCCTCGCCTTGACGCACACATACGTCGAAATCAACGGTATCTAGAACTTTAAATGTAATAATTTGCCAAAACCCTCTCATAGGGAAGGAGCCTTTTCACTCCTGGGCTCGCCTTCGGGTGTGACAGGCTTGGGCTCATCAGAGCCACTGCTTCCGCCGTTGTTGGCCATGTTCTGGTGCTCTTCAATGCCGTGTTGAGGGATGAACTTGCCCTCTCCGGCGGGCTCGGCCTGGTGAGGGGTCCAAGCAAGGAAGTCGCGGCGGACCTCAACGTAGTCGTAAGAGAATTCACCGTGCTGGTCGTCGTCCATACCAAGCAGTTCAGCTTCTTCAGAAGCACGGAGCTTGAGGCCTGGAATCATGTCGATGGCCTTCGCGATAAGGGCGGACATGACGAAAGTGTAGGCGCAGCAGGCAACGATGTAGGCGATTTGAATGTACATGAGCTTCCAGTTGCCATCGACCCATCCGCCAGTAACACCGACGTTGACGCCATCAAGACCAATGATCGAGCCCGAAGCGAAGAAAGCGTTGAAGATGAGGCCGACGATACCACCGATGCCGTGCTCAGCGAAAACATCGAGGGAGTCGTCGATCTTGAGGAGGAACTTGACTGTAAGGATGGTTAGCAAGTTTAGATTCGATAGAGCGCGATCACACTTACTCTTGGTGCCAAAGTTGCATGCGACACCAGCGACAACACCCAGGATGATGGAGGCCCAGGGGGTGATGACGCCGGAAGCGGGCGTAGCAGCGACCAAACCGGAGATAGTACCGGAGCACCAGCCGACAAGCGACCACTTCTTGGCCAGACGGAAATCAAGCAGGCACCAGGTCATGGCGGCGAACATGGCAGTCAGGCAAGAGTTCCAACAAGCCATGGCAGCGCGAAGGTTAGCACCGAAAGCGGAGCCACCGTTGAAGCCCAACCAGCCGAACCACAGAAGAATAGTGCCGAGGGTGATGAGAGAGATGTTGTGGGGACGGAAGTTGAGCATCATCTTCTCGTTGCGACGACCGAGGACCCAAGAGTACGCCAGTGCCGACATACCGGAGCCGATCTCGACGGGGCCACCGCCAGCGTAATCGAGGACACCGTACTTGAAAGCCCAACCGTTGGCGTTCCATGCCCAGCAGGCGACGGGGCTGTAAACGAGGGTGGCCCAGAAGAAGATGAAGACCATGCAGGGAATGACTCGGCCTCGCTCAGCAGTGGCACCAGCGGTAAGGGCGGCGGTAACGGCGCAGAACATCATTTGGTAGAAAGAGTAGAGGAGGGCAGGAACGAGAGGCGAGCCTTGAGAAGGGGTAGCGAGGAGCTTCATCAGTCCGAAGTGTCGAAGATCGCCGATGAAACCGTTGGTGGCAGTTTCGCTGAAGGCCAACGAGTAGCCCCAGAAATACCACTGGAAGACGACGACGGAGAAACTCATCATTACCACCCATAATTGGGACAGAGCCGACTTTCTGCGGGCCAGACCGGAGTAGAGGAAGGCGATGCCAGGAATCATGAGCAGGACCATGGCGGCGGAGACGAGAATGTACGATTGGTCGCCGGACTGGTACCATTGGTTAAGGTTCTCCGTGGCTGTTGAGAACTATTAGCATCACCGCGGCGAGATTGAGCAACCAGAATCTCCAGCAGGTAAGAGAACATACTGGAGTCACCACCAAAGTCGGCATTGGTGCCATTGAACTCCGTAGGAGCTCCTGTGTGACTGTAAGACATGGCGGACAGTCGTGTGTGGAAGTATCGGGTGAGGAGGCGATGTGTTCACAGAATGTTGAGATGATGAAAGAGAAGTGTGAGGTAGGGTCAAGGAGTAATGAGTTTTATTATCTGAAGAGCAAGCTGACCCGTTGGACAGAGCTGGGGAAGGGGTTAGCGGCCAGGGTAGGTCGAGTACAAGAATGAGACGAATTGTCTGGGTAAAGGGATCAAAGAGGAAGACGTTTGCGGTCGGGGAGGGACGGGCAGGATCATATATGAAAATACACTGCGGAGAGACGACTGGGCCCTGGGCGTGGTTGCGGCAGAATCAACATGGAGTGCTGCGGTGATCCCTGGCCTGGGGGGCTTGACTGCTTGCTCGGGACAGCGGAGCTAGTGTGGGCAATCCGCATACGGAGGAGGCGTTGTGGGATGGTAATCATGGTGACTGACAGGTTCTTGTGAGTGAGCGGGCGATAAGAGACACAGACCAACAGTAAAGATAGACATGTGAGTGGACGATTCAACGCGGGTAGAGATAAGTGGAGGTAACAGAAAGAGTGTAAGAGCAAAAAAGAGCCGTCTATCCCAACCTGGTACAGACCAAAACCAGCAAGACCCAGCCGCTTGGGGTGTCCTGGTAAAGTCTGGCCAAGAAAACGCCCCTGGGTGTCGGTACGTACCCACTCTTGTCTTGCACCTATCGCGCCCCACGCTTTCTTTGGCTGGAGCTCATGTCACTGTCATTCGCATTAGTCTGCAAAAGATACGTACCTGTTCGTCCATGAATGAAGGCTACGTAGCGACTTGACGAAGTCGATGGTACGGGCTCACACATAACAACAGAAACTCCTCTTGTCTTCCGTCTGTTCCCCAGAATTCGATAAGGCTTGACATCATTGCCCGCTCCAGTAAGAACGGCTTACTGCCGGTGCTTTACCTTTTCAGAGAATCTGAATGGGGCTGCGACTATGCTGGGGGTGCTGTGCGTTTTCCGGGGCGGTAATTAGGTTTGTGTGCATTGATTCGTTCTCGCCGAGTGAGACTTGGGGGGGACGAGCTTGCTGGTGATAGATCTTGCTCATCAACCATTAATTAATTTCAGTTGTCCGTTTTCCCGTATCAGTTCCGGCGTGACCTGGTCCTGTCCCTGCACTGGCTTCAACGTGGTGCCTTTAATCTTTTGCTCGGCGAGGGCGCGGGCTTTTTCTTCAACCCTTCTCTCATGCTTCCATTTGTCGGTCAGGTCTACCTCACTTGGACGATTAGAACACTGGTAAAACAGCAACTATCACCAAGCACGACCTGGCGAAATGCTTCTCCCGCACCTCCTCTAAGACATAGAACACACCTCGATAAACCTCTTGCTTACATCGTTGCGATATTGCCACTGTGACGCAGCATTCGCCGACACCAGCGGCGACCAGAATACAAGCTGCCAAGTCGAGCCAGCGAAACTATCGACACAGCTTCAACCCTGGCGATTAACTGGGGTTTCTTTTTCTCCGTATCCTGTCCGTTGGGGGGCCTCCCTCCAACAGAGACGTCCAAGATTAGATGCCCTTCTTGATCAATGATGAATAAAAGGTGATGATCGATGAAAAGAGAGCCACAGATAAGAGATACGGCAGGCGCAGCGCGAAGCGGGACCTGTAAGTGGTGGATAGTAATTGGGCTGAATCAACGAAATACCTTTGGTCCACTCAGGGCTCATCGTTTGACTTGTGGCTGTTTAGTCAGGCATTTCCGCCGCAGCATCTCAAATGCTTTTCCAGCCTTTGAAAAGGAGGCCCAGAGTGCAGCCCAGCCCCTGCACGGCCCAGCAGTCCGGCAATCAGTGGACCCACCAGACCACACTCCACTGATGCGGACGGGACAAGACTTCAAGACGTGGGACTCGCCTGGGATCCCCCAATCCATTTTCTTCTTCTTCAGTGGAATCGCCAAATACGGCAATCCTCTTCACGACAAATCCCCCCTCCTCCACCCCCAAAGACCCCCATTCTCATCTAGCAGCGACCCTGTCTTGACCTTATCATAAGGCGTGTCTTCTTTGCTTTTCAATTGTGGCATTTGTCGGTAAGCTGCCATGCCAGAGAGTCCATTACTGGATGACAGACTATCGATTTGAGGGGTGTCTCCTGCTCTTGGCTCCTTGTGTGCGAAGCTGAAGTCGAGGTGGCATGCAGATGCATAGTTGGCGACCCAATTGGTGACCTCTGCTCTCCACCGCTGAGAATTATCCTTGATGCCCAGCATGCGCCTCGCCTATCTTCAGCTGTATCGGAGCTAATGACTGGAGGACTTTGATCCTGCGTTCCTGACGAGACTTCTCCTTTATGCTGGTCTGAATTGATAAGCTTAGCTGGATCAGACACCACCACTGCTTCCGTGGATACTGTTACTAGGGCCAAACAGTCGTGGTTGTTCCATCTTTGACCTACCAGTGTAACACAATCCACGGCATTCGGCAAGTGACTAAAACGGGAGCTCACAAATCCTAACATTTCGCGCTCTTAAAGCAAACGGGCTACAACAGTTGGCAAAAAAAAGAAGAATTCCCACTTCAATGGTGAAGTCGTGGCCAATTTTCTGAATCGACCACTATATTCGCTCCGTCACCGGCAGTCTGGCCTAGCTCCGTTTTCGGCACGTGTTAAGGGAAAAGTCGGGATGTTGCCCCATCGCGTTCATCCGGAGACGTACATCTGCTGTGGGGGGATAGGAGATTTCTTAGTCGTGCACCTGGAAATCGGTTGCTAACACAACAATGTCAAAATGCGAGGACCAGTGTCGATGGCAAAGCAAACCCTTGGAAGCGCCCAGGCTTGGCTCCCTCCATCTACAGCTGAGGCGGTGCCGCAGCCCCCGATTAACGGTTCGCATCAACTAGAATCCCACTCAGGCGCTCATTCCTTCTTGGGTTTGCTTTTGATATCATGCAATTAGTCCCTGCCTGCGTCAATATCTGGTATCCTTGAGACTGTCAAACTAGTAGACTGTCGAGTCTCGGAGACTTGTTGACAATATTTGAATGTTCAGCAGCTCTCAAACCCAGATGCGCGGAACGATGACTATACGTTCTGTGTCCATCTTTCGCCACTTTCCACCACTACCGATTTACCCGATGGAAAAACTTGGGCAACGTGCCAAGATCAACAAAAGCCTTGCCCTGTGGTCAAGCTCTGAAGTGACTATCATTGGAACCACATGATGGCTAGAAAGCCCACGAATGATGGTGATGAGTGACGACACCACACCCCTAAACTTGAGCATTCCCACTGACCACCACCTTCACGAAAAAGGGTCAAGCTGCGCATGCATCATTTCATCTCAGAGATAAAGGGCGTGAGAGTTACACAGATGGAGCCCGTTAAGATGCACTTCCCCGTATTTCTACCATGCTCCCTCATCCTAATGCTGCACCCCAGCTTTGCTCCTTCCTACCGGCCCTTACCTGAGACTGGTCTCATTGGTTTCCAATGTCGCTGCTGTTCGAGAATCTCACCATCGCCTAGTCCGGACGACGTCCGTCGTCCGTCCAATTTGAAACCTTGCAAGTGGAATCACGACCTAGAGTTGGGGGGCAACTCAGAATGACGTCCTGGGCAGCAATAGATAACATGGGAGGTTCTTTCCTGGGACAAGTTCCATCCTGCTCCTGGCTCTTAGACATGTGCTAAACCTTAGCCTTATCAGTGACCAAATAAACCAATCACAACCCCGGTTACTTTGTCAGAACGAAATGTCAGCCTGCCCCTTTGTGCAGGCTCCACATCAGGCGATGCGCTCCTATTCCGGGAGAACACTGCCCCACATTGCGGCGCCGCTCGGACCGGCATGTCCGTGGACTCTCCCTTTATCCTTCTGGAACAGTTCGACTGAAATAGACCTGTAGTGTATCCCTTCAAGTCCGGTAAGGCGCAATTTTCAGGAGACTGCCGTTTTTCTGCCCCACGTAACGGGCGTTTGGCCGGGTGGCCGGGTGGCCGGCCGGCGGCTACACGAGCTCCGTATTCTGATAACTGCAACAGCACCCCTACAAGCCGTACCATACCCTTAGGAATTAGTTACACAGGCAAAATACAAACAAGTACACTTCGTAAGGCATTGCCAACGACTTCAAGCATCTTTACTAGCGGAAGGTTTACTTTTGAAAAGAATCCCCCCGCATATATGGGGTAGCTACCCACGTAACCCGGTAAGCCTTGCCTCAGCCATGGTAAGAACTTGTGTAAGTTTTCGAGGCATCTGGCTATTTACAAAGTTTATATACTATTCTTCATATAAGTCCCAATTCTCTCCTCCATATATCTATGATTCTATTCTTCATACAATTCACCACCTCACTCGTTTATCTAGGTCAGAGATGTATAACACCAATACCTCCTGGCTTCGTCTGCCCCCTGAGATACGGCACGAGGTGCTTCGTATTCTGCCAGGTCTTGGAAGTGATTGCAGCCTACTTGCCACCGTTTCGCTAGAGTGGCAGTCTGTCATTGAGTCCCTCAATTTTGCTAAGATCAGCCTGACGCTACCACGCCTCTTTAACCCTGACACTAAAGCTATTCTCTTCCGCAAGAGAAGTCTTATCCGCTACATATGGTTTCGTGTGGAACTGCAACAGTGCAACTGTGGACTGTGTGCACCAGAAAACCGAGACGATTGGGGGTTGAAAGATGCTGATAACAGATTGATCGTGGAGGCTTTTCAGAGTTTGTTCTTAACGCTTAGCACATGGGAGCCTCGTGGTGATTTGGTTCTCGACATTAGCGTTTACTCGCCAAGCGATAGACGCCACTGGTTTAAGTATCTCAGCTTCCACCCAGATACCCAACTTGGCGATTGTTTATCGCTACAGCGCAGCAGACATGAGCAAGAGGTTCTTATTGACGACCCAGCTCATGGCTGGGCTGCCGGGCGGCAAATAGTTGCTCCCAACTTAAACGCTATCTATAAGGTATTTGACGAAATCATGGGCGAGGGACCATTCGAGGCCGAGGAACTGGAGATGCAGTGGTGGCAAACACTACCACTCGTCCCCGCCATTACGGTTGTGCTCCTCCGTCAGCAAACTCGCCGGCGTTGGAAGCCCGTTGCCCTCGCGAACATGCTCACACGCTTCCCTAATCTGGCGGAGCTTTGCTACGAGCCATGGAGAGAGTGGACTGAAATAGTCCGACAAACCGATAAACGTAAGTGTTGTTTTTAGCTGGCTCTACGACTTGTCAGTCAGCTGACGAATACCGATCTCGATATAGGCAACCAGACACTGATTGAACTGCTTCCTGAGACTAAACTACTAAAGCTAACGATTTTCGAAAATTCCAACCAGACATACGCGGAAAAACATGTTGAGTGTCCCGCCATCAGGGTGCCAACTCCTGCCGTGAGCCACGAACTTGCAAGAGCCAGTCTGCAGCTCGCGACGCTGTCAGGCTCATTCATGGTTGACGCTAGCTACTTCTTCCAGGCGTGCAAAGACTCGTGGGAGTGGGGAAATCTCACGCGTTTAGCACTAACATCGAGGGTACTCACCGACGGTGCGAATGTTGCCGACGTCAACGATATGCTGCGAGACGCTGCGGCTGCTGCACTGAAGATGCCAAAGCTTGAGACGCTGGAACTTTGGAACGGTAGAAAAGGCGTGGCAATGCTTTTCCGTTACCAGAAGTCCCGAGATAAGCAATCTGCTATCATCACGGTACGGGGCACATTCGAGCTTGCTCTGGAGTCTACAGTCACGCAAGCTTGGGACGCGGTCGCACTCCGGCATCGCCACGGTAGCGTTTTCGTTCAAAGCTTCTTGATAGATCCAGGTAATATCCGATGCCATGGCGATGCAATATGTCAGCTGCGACTCTCAACGGAAGTAATCAGACCTGTCTCGCTACAACAGATCCTCGAAGAGCATGAACTTCGGATGGGGCTGAAAAAAGGGACAAGTTCGTAAAAAGCGGCGAATCCTAGAATCACAACCACTACCTACGCCGCGCGAACATGAACAATATTACCCACGGATCTCCAACGCATTATGAATCTTGCTGGTGTGGTACAACATGCAGAATAACCTGTCTTTAATCGCAGTGATGGTATCGGGCATGTTCGCAAAAGCAGACGTTCCGATTCGAGATGTGAAAATTACCATAAACATCAATGGGAGCCTGGGGTTAGACGATATGGTTGTTGGATGATGTAACGCATGGGGCACTAGGGGTAGTCAGGAGCGTGCAACGAGTCGTGGCCGAATTGGGGACAGTAATGACCGACAAGCCTGTGATAACGATGGCATCGCAGCGCCTTTTCTATTTGAAAAGCCCTATAGAATTAAGGCCATCGCGAGAAACATGTCAAGTCCGCTCGACAAACCGCTTAGTACTCATTAGGTAGGTATAATCTGACGGTACTCTCAGTATATACTGGCCATCATAGCCGAGAAGGCGTTCCTTTGACGGCTATGATTAGTTATCATAATGACAAGGCACTGCCAAGAAGCTATTCGAGAGTGTTCCGCTTGGTTATTCAGTAAGTAGGTGTAGTAAAGTTGTTAGAAGCCTTTCCAATGCTCAGGGTGAATGTACCTGGGGAGGGACTGGCGCAATGATCGAGACTTGATTTCACTCAGACTCAATGCCTCCATATTACTCACTCGAGGTAGCTTCACGGGCTGTGCGATACCACGAGTCGCAACCTTCCCGCATATTCTTAACCTTTCCTGTCGTTGTTGTCTCCTGGATCCCATAGTCTGCTCACTGAACTAGGGCACGCTACGAGTGCCATCGGTCTTGAGAGTATTGATATGCTACCATTTGAGTGCCATTCAGGTCTGTGCCTATTCATAAGACCTGCTAATATCCTTTCACTCACCAAGTCCGATACCACCGAGAGGAGCCTTCTTATGCTCGCGTTTTGCGCGATGCCTCAGGTTTTTTAATAAGCACAAATCAAAGGCTCAACATTCCGCGGCTGAATTACCTGTCATTGTCGTCCACAGTGTATTCATTCATTCATAACGGAGCCAGAGAACGCAGAAATGATAACCACAAGCCGGGTCTTCAACATAAAACCATGAATCCCGCCTCCAAATGCTAAACAGGCTGTCAAAAGGGATGAAGGGCGCTCTGCTAGAGAATCAAGGTGCCAGCGTATTACACCTGAGTGCAAAGGACAGACTATCGAGGAGCGTTTTATCACCATCGCTCCATCCCTCAAATTCATAATCTATGGCACTCCCAAAGCCGCCGATACAGTTTATCTTACCACTTTTCTCGAATCAAAAGTTGAGGTGTAATCATGTAGGATATAAGGATAAACCTTAAGACACAAAATGTTGCAAACTTTGGTGCATTCTTCAAGGCCTAGCTTTGTTGCTCTGATACCCCCTGAGGTGAACACAATGGGGATCATAGGCCGGGTATCAGGAGAGAAACCACAACGCCGTCATATCCCTTAAAGCAAAAATACAAAAACAAAAAACAGAGATATAACCCAGAAGCCTCCACGCTTCTTCGGGGTTTCATGCCTAGCCCCCACTTCGCAACTAGAAAATTAGTTGGAAGTATGCCTCCCCGAACTTCCAACGTAGCTGCCGCCAAAGACTATCTGACAGAAAGAGAAACCCAACAGGACCCCCCTTCAGAAGATGAGCAGGTGCTCGTTCCTTTCATCCCGTCCAATATCATAGCTCAAGATTCTATGATCGCGGTAATGAAGCATAAGTCGATACCGTCTCAGCGCCGGCGATGGAGCGGGAGCCCCGTCAGGTCTTAGTAGACACCCCGACGCGCCACCCTCCTGTACTGGCCCTACAGCAATCCCATAGAGCCCCCGAGACGGTCGCCGACCAGCCTTGTCGTCGTCGCGAGTAGGCAACACCCAGTCGATCCGGTAGCCCTGTTTGACTGTGAAATCGTTGCCCTCAAAGCCATAAGGAGATCGAGTTGGCGTCAAGAGTATCACCCGACCAATCGCCGATCCAATGATGACGAGTGATAGCTCGGGTACGTGTACGACCATGTTGAGCCGCTCAGAGTGCTGCAGCAAGGCATTGTGCGGGTGATTCCAGCTGATCGGGTCGCGACAGAACACAGCAGCCCCACCATCTTGGTTGATGCTGCGCATCTCAATATCTTCCTCGTACGTTCGCAATATGCAGCAACGGCTACCCAAGTCTTCGAGCACATCACTGTCCTGCTCTACGACATTGCGATTCTTAATCCTGTCTCGACGATGGAATTGCAACCTGCCCACGACCGAGGTCGGCGAAACATAGGTCTTGCCGTCATGGGGGTAGTACACCATGTCAAGCCAGGAAGACTGGAAGCCGCACAAATCGTGACTCTTCGACGAAGGCTTGATAAAGTTGCAAGTCCCGTCAGGTGGTAATACTTGCATCATAGCTGCACCGGTACCCGGATCGTTGTCAGCGGCATGAACCGCTTCTTCTATAAAGATGAAGTCATTGTCATCATCAGCTTCAACGACTTGAAGAAAGTCTGGCAAATCGATAGAACTAGTATCATCGTCGTCGTCTTCGTCATCATCTTCTTCATCCTCATCTGCATTCTCATCGTTGCCGCCCTCTTCAGAAGTGTCGGAAGCCACCAATCCAGCCTCGACCGCGTTGTCTACCGCTAGTGTCAGTACTACATTGTCTTCGCTCGATTCATCATCTTCATGAACTGGGTTGGCTGAGCCGGCAGTCTGCAGTCCGCCCGTGGGGGCCGTTCCGTCATCCTCAACATCGTCTCCATTAGCAGTGGCGGGCTGTTGCGCCAGCGACAGTGGTTGAGGAAACGGTAGCCCAAGTAGCGGCGGCTCATTAAGAATCGCAGCCAGCAAGGCTGGCTGTCCGGTGTGCAATACCCATTGCGGATCCATATGTTGAGGGCCAAATGCTTCTGGTTCTGGCATCCGCTGAGCGGAAAGTTCTGCCGGATGCTTGCGCACGTTTGCCAAGCCCCTCTGAACCTCAATCCATCGGCCGGCATGGGGAGGCTTCGCGTTCATGATGTCAGACTCCTTCAATCCAAGCAAATCGTTTGCAGAATACGCAGTCAAGAAGCTCTCATAGGGAAGAACGGCGATGCCCCATCCCCTGCAAGCATTGAATCAGTAAATGGCACATACAGTCAGTAGGGTAAACATACATAGGATTTCGAAAGTTCCACTGGCCTGGAACGTTAGCCCTGTGAGGGATTTTGAGCGCTGCGGTCCCGGGCTTCCAAATGTCCAGGATCCAGACGGTGCCGTTGATATCAATGGCAACGGCCTTCTCGGCAAAACCCTCATCATCATCCCAAAGGGCAATATTGGGTATGTTGTGCCCGCCGTCTCCTAGGGGTATAACGATACGCCAATTCCGTTTCCTCTTGAGCACGGAGCTCTCGCAGTAATCTAGCGGCCTTGCCCGGCGGTCCATGGCCTCTGGCAGGCGTGAAAGCCCAAAGGCGAAGACGGTTATTTCGAATCTGTTCGAGCTTATGGCTATGAGGCGCGACTTCTGGTGAATGGCAATGCCCCATGCCGATCGTCCCACATTCTCAGAAAAGAAATATGTCGGTACCGGGATTGGGCTCTGACAGCCTAACGATACTCGGTCGACGTATTCAGCGATGTGTCTGATATAGTATGCGAAAACAGATCCATCATCGTAGGCCGACACCAGGACCTCTTCTCTCCCGAGAAACCCGGTGGCGATATGATTCGCCTGGTGGTGAAAGCGGCTGTCCAGCGTGCCCGAGACGTGTATCGCAACCTTGTCCGGTTTTGTCGCCAAAATGAGGTTCGGTTCTCGAGGGAGCGCCTGCATCGACACGCTTTTCGGCTGGTAGACAAAGATCCGGTTTTCGTACGCTGCAAAGTAGAGCTACAGGGAGAACATGTCAGTTGTCAACATTTCCAAACGCCAGGGATGACGGCGACACCAACGTTGTATCTCTGGGATAATGCCGTCAGGTTGTTCCTGAAGTACGGCATCTTCGGTATGCGCTTCTCCAGCGGTGCTTCCTGCGCTGCGGGCCCATTTTTATCTGCCCCAGTGACGATCTGGTTGACTGGTACGCCTTGGATAATCGCCTCGGTTTCTACTTGGTTGAGGTGGTCTCGCTCGCGCTGTCGAACGACCTCATGGGCCCCGTCGCCAAACTAACAGAGTTAGCAAATAGCGCATCCTCAGGAAAGTAGCCACAGGAGCTCGAGAAATAGAAAGAAATGTCCCTCTATAGTATCACAGACGGAATGGTAACTTACCCGGTCAGTGCAGGTTTGCACGAAGCACTTCCCCAGCACAGCCTCGCGGAAGCCGCGATCGTGGTCTTGTCCCTGTTGGCTCGCCATGGACTTACTCCTTGGAGTCCTGTCCTCTCTTTCGCTTCGAGCGCGACATAAGCGCTTGGTATGTGAATGCCTTTAAAAATGCCTTTCCCGTCCGAAAAGGCGTTGCTCAAAGGTTGATGATGATCAGAACTGGGGGTGCAGGATTGCGTCTCTCTTGGATCATATCCGTCCTGTTTGTCGTCAAATGCCCACCTTGCGCCCGAGGGAGGGGAGGTGGTTCCACTTATTACCTTATCGATAAACAGCCGTCGACTTTCGGCTGGTGCTTTATCGATAAGAAGCTTAGCTCAGTGACATCTGCTGGCCCCTGCTGTTTGTTTGTCTGGAGAGGAGGGGTTGACTGTTTCAGTAAACCCATCCGTCGGTGAAATTGAGGGTTCAGGAATGTTAAGACAAGTGCACAATGGTTTTTTGAATCAAATGAAGAATGGCATTATCGGTCATACATTTTTCATACCATTTCACTAGACTTTAGTTCATCAGAAGGGCCTATAAAGGATAAAATAGGCATCAGGGACGAGGACTCGGGTGATGAAGTTATATAATTTTGAAGTTTCAAGTTATATGATCAGAGTCGTAATACTATCGTCAACTTTTACATTTCGTCAATGACCGTCTAGCTCGTGCCTGACCTTGGGTAGCCGGGTATCCGAAGCTGCCACCCAGTAAAATCATCAACCTTGCCCCCGAAACGCCGTTCAGTATAATAAGCAAACAAACAACGACAACACAGCCCAAACGCTCCGTGACCGACGATTTGAGTAAATACTATCCAAGATTCAACCAGGACTTTTGGCACTTTCTATTGCCTCATGATCTCGACCATGTCTTTCATTCGGTAGTCCAGCACAGGAGTGACCCAGTCATCCTCGACGAGTGAATACGTCTCCTTGACATTCTCGTGAGGCTTCCGCGGGTTGATCGCCCAGTATCCAAAATCAGCATCTATGACTTTGAGGTACCGCATCAGGTTGTTCCAGTAGTTCGCATCGCCAATGCTGGGCTGGTGAGGCGCGCCGAATTCGCCCACCCAAACGGGCGACAGGTCGCCTTCGACCAGATATGCCCAGTTGTGTCGCATCGAGTTCACGAATGAGGCGTAGCCACGCTTGGAGTAACGGCCCTCTAGGCTTCCCCAGCCGGACCAGGCGTAGACATGAGCTGAATACACCACTTTATCGGGAACATTGACAACGACAGGTCGCTTTGCAACTCCAGTGAGGTCGTTTCCAGATTCAGTACCGCCGACAATGATGAGCCAGTCCTTGTTCATCTCTAGCAATCTATTACCAGCCTTCTCGGCGGCGGTGGCCCACTTGTCCCAGGTCATCGTACCCCAGACGCCGCGGACCTCATTACGCAGGTCAACGCCAACAACCCGCGGGTTATCGACAAGACGGAGCATGATCTTTTCCCAGTTTTGAATCCAGTCCTCCTCGGTTTGCTTAATACGGCACAATGGGCCGAGGTGGTCGTTGGCCCAGTGAGCATCACAAGGGTCAGCGCCACAGCACCACGTGGAGTGGGTGATGTGGTTGTTGACAATGACAGCAATGCCCGCGTCGGTCAGCGCCGTCACGCACGCCTCGAAGATGTCGAGCGCGCGCATACCAACAAGGTCCGGGTTAGCAGTCAGAAGCTCCGCAGGGATGAGCGGGTCGGTAATGACCATCTCATCGCTGTAGGGCAATCTAACGCTGTTGAAGCCGAGTCCCTTGATGGTTTGGGCAATTGTGTCGCGGTGCTGGACATCGAGTCCGCTGGGGATGTTGATCTCATCACTGGCTCCGTACCAATTGACGGACAACAACTTGAAACGGCGGCCTTCCTCGTCGACAATGTCGCGGCCCTTTGTGTGCAATGGCAGAGTGTAGGTCTCGATGCTCGTCTCCTTAATCGGAGGTAAGAGAGGGCGTTGTTCGAAAAGCCTGGTCTCGGGGTCGGGTGTCCAGGGGACACCGAGAGCGGCCTCCGCTTTCCACAGATAGTGGACATAGCCGCCGAGGAAGACGAGGGTCAGAATGAGGAACATCCTAAACTGCGATAGCTTGAGGTTGCCGAGGTGGCAGATGGGTCTTATTCGAAGTTTTGAAGGTTGTGCTGACGGTTGTGATCTCTTGCGGAACCAAAGGCCAGTGGGGGCTCCATGTTCAGTTGTCGCAGAATCGTCTATGCTCGGGAAATAGACACCGCCTCTGGCTGGCGGAGTGCTCGGTTGCTCGATGTCATCAACCAGTGTTCCAGCTTGTGGACGTCCCCAGCTCCAGCGCCAAACCCTGGCCGGCGAGCTGGGTACTAGCTTGAAGAGTTCGGGGAACGGCATTACTAATATTCCTTTTTCGGCGGGTCACAGGCGGCAAAGCCGTTTCTGAAAAAGCTCGATTCACTAGGCTGTTTTTAGCGGACAGCCCTGTTGAAAGGACAAAACCACAATCGGTCGGGAAATGGCCGGGGCCAAGCTTGTGCCGATGAAGCCGACAACACGGGTAAATGACTTCATGCACAAGCACCTCAACTTTCTTTAATTTTTTTCCCTTCGCATCTGCTCGTGAGAGGGCAAATTTCTTCGCTGTCTGCCACGTGCCGAGACGGGTACACAGTCAGAAACGATGCCTGTATATCTGCTTGTAACGGACTGGTCGATGTTTCGCTTCTTATTCCTTTTGATGTTTCGGTCCGTCAACCGACTTCCTCCCCACCACCTGATGGGTGAAGCACGCACAGTTAAGTGGGTGTCAAAGCTGCGGTCTCGACGGTGGGGTTTGTGTCAGGATCTCCAAAAGTTGCAGGCACCTCTGATCTGTGTCTTCTCTTTTCGTGCTGTCAGCCGGAAGATTGGTATCAGCCCGATGCACAGTTGAGATGATGATTAAGAGGCGGGCGACGAGACTGGTTTCACTACTTTGTTGTCGATGTTTGTTTTGATAGCCACAGGGGGTCTCGATTGAGTGGAATAAGAGTAAGAAATTAAAAATAAGTTAAAACGAACGTGGCTTCGAGTGTTGTCAACGTTGTCCCAAACCAATTGCTCGTGGTGGTGGGATATGTTGTTGTTTTCAGTTACGCAGGGACTCTTCCCTTCACAAAGCGTTGATGATATTGAACGTTTCAAGACGTGATAAGAAAGAAACAACCTTTTCTCGCTACACCTTACTTTGGCGGGCAAAAATCTACTTATAACTATGAACGGACAAGGCAACAGAACCTCACATCGGGCGGCGGCCGAGCGGTCTAACAATGCATTTTCCCGCTTACATCACAGTAAGCTTTATTGCCCAGGTCTCCGAAGAAGCCGGACGGAGCGGAAGCGCTGGGAATATCTGTCGTCGGTGGCATTGGATAACCGTCTAGTGCCAACAAACGCGATCCAGTCACTTTCCAAAGATTTGTCTAGTATGGGCCCCTCCGCTCCTCGCATTATTAGTTCATTCATTGTCCGTCCATTCCGCACATTCCGAGTGGGCTTATCTTATCCCACCGCCAACAAATGTTCACCGAGCCTACAAGATCCTTGCTCGGTAGTTTGCTTTTCTCACCACTCACTGCGCTGTTCATCCTGCACGTCCGGCATTTCTTAGGAAAAGCTTGCATTACGCTGTCGTGTGACTCTTTTTATTTCGGGCTCTCGACACCTCCCACACGTCCGTCAAATCGTGATTCGTTCCGCCTCTCCCGTGCGTCTTCCGCTCCGAGGCCCCCCTAGACAAGGTTCCCGCCATTTCCTTTGTCATCCTCGCCTTTCTTAAGGTACAGAGCCTCTAAATTGTGGGTATTGCACCCGTTCCTTCGCTACCTAAACAAGTCCGAGACGCCGACGCTGGTATTACATGTTTTTTTCGTAAAATATTTGACAAGGCCAGTAAGGCCGACGATTCCTCCACATTACATCATCTCTATCAGTCCGCTGATGCTAAAAGCAGTAGTAGATGGGATCCCGGTGCTTTGACCGACAAATGCGGACTTTTTGGGTGAACGGGGCGCGGGTGGGGATGAGTTTCTTGTAGCATGCAATTCAGCTACCCGTCGTCTAATGTTCAGTTGTTGTTGTTTTTTTTCTCCTTCTTTTTCTTTCTAATTTTTTTTTAAAAAAAACTTTATTCTTCTGTCATTCCATTGTCGTTGATACAGGTCGTCTCATTATATCCTGTTCATCCCAAGTGGATTCATGTCTTCGAAGCCGTCCGGTCGGGCTCGCGATTCGGGCCGAGCGTATGTTGCTCGCGCATCCCAAGTGGGTGGTGTTTGCGGCGGCCGGGGGCTTGAGAAGGACCGCATCGGCGGCTGATAGCGGGCTGTCTGCCCAAAGTAGTCGGGGGTTCTTCGTCCACTGTTTGGACTCACGACGGGTGATTTGACTGGGGAAACTGGTGTTACAACAGCGCTCGAGTCTCTCGACAGCATCTCGTACGCACGGGTATCTTTCTTAACGTCGTATCGGGCATCCACCGACACAAATTCTTTCTTGTTCCTGCCTCGGAACGAGGTGACAAGGTCAACCCAGCCGAGGACCATAGCCCATCGGCCTAGGAGGAAAAGCAGCCAAATGCCGTTCATCTGAGATCAAGTCAGTGGCCAGATCTTCAGGGGTGAGATTGGAGAACTCTTACTGCAAGGAGAACCAAGACAGCGGCGATGGTTGCCTCATTGACAACCAGCGTCTTGGCCTTATCATAGCACTTGGTTCTATCGCCGCCGTTTGATACGAGGCAGAGAAGCCAGCCCTCGGCAACAGTTTTGTCATCATGCACAGCCTGCACAGTATTGTCCTGGAAGACAAAAATGACAGAGAAAAAGATAACGTCGGCAATGATGATCAGAACGATGGCGATGCCTCTCCACTGCAGTTGAATGACGCGTCGTACTCGTCGGTATGCTTGACGGGGGGTCATGGTCCGGACGCTTTGGGAGTATTGGGGCAGGTTTGAACCTTCGGTCGATGCACTGTTGTCGGCCAGAGATGCGAGATAGACCTTGATGCAGTATCCAAACGTGGCGAACTGAATGATAACGGTGAGGCCCGCAAACACAAGGAGAGGTATCCAAAAATCCGCCAGACTGTTCTTGTGGTTGATATGGCAAGTGGCACCAAACCGAAACGACACGCCACTGAAGACAAGGGCAACAACGATGCCGATAATTGGAATGCCCCAGCCGGTGACTTGAGCAAAGATCATGAAGTTCCGACCAACAACGACTTGCCAACAGATCTGGAGATGCAGGGACAACGACCGTAGGAAAACCCACATGACACCTGCCCAGCCTCCAAGGAGGAGGAACGCGCCAGATGCACCACAGACTTTGCTCGACTTCATGCTGTGAGGAGTGATATCATTATAGCATTGCTCAGGCTGAGCAGCAAGTGGAACAACGAAGCCAAGCTATTTCTAAGGTCAGATTACAACTTCAGGCCACATGTAACAGCGGGGTGGCTCACGTTCATAATCAAGACGGCGATCGTGAGGCAGATGCTCAGATAATGTCTGTAGGTTTTTTCGACGGGCAAGAAAGCCCACGATATAAGGAGGAAGAGGCAGCATGCACCGCTTGCAACACATACCCAGTTGGCTGCCGTCGTCAGAGTGTCAAAGTAATCAGGGTAGACCCAATCTGTTAGCGGACAGGGTAAGCAGCATTGCAATGTCGCTGTAAGATTTTGGCAGAGTCGGCCATCAATAACTTTTCAGTGTTAACAGTTTGCTCGATACGACGCCCATGCAAGACACTTACATCCTTCATCGGTCGGAAACAAGCCCGACGAAATAAAGGGCGCCGGGCAGCCCCCTCGGGCGAGAGTGCTGTTGGCCATGGTTGAGTAAACCACAAGCAGCCGATGTGTATGTCGATTCTAGTGGCCACAGATTGATATAAGTCACAGATTTGGTGTATTTTGATTAGTTGTTTGCCGTGTTCCGGTTCGGGGGACAGCCCCAGGCGACGCCGCGCTGACCGTTATGACTTGTTGGTAGACCGTGACTTCGAAAAAGTCGTGGCGTGGAAGGCCGGAGCTAGCGCCGCGCTCGGTTGGGTGATAAGAGATGACAAAGGAAAAGAGGAACGTCTTCCGAAACCCTCCAAGTGACGTCCTCAGTCCTGCTGAAGCCCAAGTTGTGGTCGATACTCGGGTTCGGATAGGTGTTGGAATATCGAGATGGTAAAAGCAGACGGTCGTGTAAGTCGAGTGGTGAGGTTGACGTCGTGCGGCGGGAGCAACTTGTTAGATTGTTGTCGTCATGGTCCGCAGTTGGAGCTGACAGGATAAGTCAGGGCGAAGCGTGGTATACGCGACAGACTCGTGGGATCAAGGAGAGACTCGAGCGGGAGCAACAACGAGGAAGCCGGAACCATTCCAGAGGGCACAAGACAGGACGAAGGAGGGTGGGACTCTATTATGTACGGCGATGCGTAGACTACCTGTGTAGTGTCCGCTCAGGTTCCTGCAAGGCGGGTGGGTGTTTCTCTGCTCTGCATCTCTCTCCCTCTCTCTTTGGCTTTCTTGACTACCCTTGCACCCAGGTCCGTTCAACCAGTCGCAGCGCTGGCCTCGGGGTCCAGGCCAGAAGGTACTGGGGTAGGCCGACTCTATGGATCAGGCAGGACTCGGGAACGGGTAATTTTTGTGTGTGATGGGTTGGACATATTGGGACTAACATGGGCTGTTGAGCCTTGGGGGAGACCAATAAGGGAGCTCGACAACGTTGATGGGCGTCGTTGTAGGAAGATCCCGATGACCCTCACTGGCCACAACCCCAGGAAGGCCACTCTCACTGTGCATTGCGTGAGACGATGCATCGGGGACGGCGCGCCTTATTGGGGAGGCGACAATCTTCAAGCCAGGGGTGTGAAGGTGCTAGCGTGTGGATGAGGGGGGGATGGATTTGATGGACCTGACCCTGGGATGGCACAAAGAAAGAGGCACAGAAAAGGATGGATCGAGTATTGATTGATGGACGGAAGTGAGGAGGAGGACGGCGAATGGAGTGTGCGGACCAGGGACCGGGAAGGGGATGCACCACACAGCGACAGGGGAGGGCGAGGGCACTGGGCTGGAGTGGGCTTGTCCAGTCTAGGGTTGAGAATGCCACAAAGACGAGAGAGGGGTGAGAAGTGATCGGAGAGGAGGGGGTGGACAATGTGGAGGGGCCCCACGCCGCCGGCCAGGGTCCTCGACTTCGCCAGGCTGTCGTGTGGCCGGGAATTTCACCTGTGATAGTGCAGACCTCCAGAGTGGGCACCCCCTGAACGGCCTGGAAATGGCCCCACTGACTCAAAAGACGACGGAAGGTCGCTGACAGGTCCCGGCGAGGATATTCAGTGGACCTCCGCCCAGCATTGTTCAGCACCTATGTACCGTGTCCCGCTAATGCTTCACCAGTCACAACGTCCATTGCCCGTATCGAGCGACCTGCTGAAAATGTTCCCCAGTCTGGCAGCCCGCTCTTGTATGGCGATTCCTGGACGTCTCACGCTGGTTGGCTTGTCTTCTTTTTTTTTTTTTTTTTTTCTCTCTTTCTCGCGAGTTCTCCCCTTTCTCCTCGGTCCATTTCTGGTACCACACGAGGGGCACAGGACAAGCCGCCCTTTTGCTAATGGATGGTCCAAGTTGCCACGAGGCATGGATATCGGTCACTTCTGTACTTTGGTACAACGATAGCCCCAGTTAGAACCAGAGTTGCGAAGAGTTCGTTTTCGCCGTCTACCTGTCACAATGCAGCACTGGCCAGCACTGTCATAATGATGTGGCATTGGCCAGCATCTTTCATTGAAGCATAGTGTGTGGCTGGGGTCAAGATCAAGCAAGGGCAGGCAGGCCACTATCCATTCCCCATCTCCCATCTGTTGTTGTCAGCTTTGCCAGCTCTACCAGCTCTACAGCTCCTGCCCGTCCAGCTTGGCCATCGTGGGGTTCTTCCCGCGCTGAGCTGCTGGATGTTGTCTGGCTGCTTCCTCTCATTGCACCTGCATCGTCTCTCGTTTTAGTCCCGCCCTCGATCTTGACCTAAGCTTAACCTACGCCTCAACTCTCTCCACATTACCCAACATTCTGCAGATCTTTTTTTCCCCCGGTCTTTTCCCGCAAGGCATGTTACTCACGATGCTCCTTTTTGACGGCCTCCCGCCAACTCAGTCTACAGTCGTCACCGGTGGCTTCTCAACAATGCACTGTCCCGCTAATATCACCTCAGCCACTACCAACTGTTCATACTTGGAGAGGTCTTAAGACTCGCCAGCTATTACTATACGTGTAGTGTGGCGCATATCTGACGCACCACTCGACCGCCAGTTGACTCAGATCCCTCACCTTCATCCTCGATCACATCCCTGGCACGGCATTCGCCAGCAAGACACGAGCAGAAACATGTCTTTCATTGACGTGGTTCCGGTTGTAACTCTTGCCTGTGTCTTATTCCCCTGCTGGCCAGTGCAGATGGCATAACATGAAGCACAACGCCTGCCCGCTACTATTGATACCGGAGCAATTTTAGGCAAGCTCCATTTCCTCTCTCTGCTACACCACTGATCGCCGATTTCCAGATACGTCTAGTGGCTTTCTATTGTTCGGTACGCGGCCGAGCAATTGAAAGAGGACTAAACCGGCCCGCTGAGGTGCGTGGCTTGCTGGCGCGAGTCACTTCAACCCAGGCCAGCCCTTTGGCAAAGCTATCCCAACCCTCTGGAGCCGCTGAGAAGTGCCGAGAGCGTGCGTCCCTCGGAGCGCGTACGCCATAGACACAAAGAAAAGACTTAACGAATCGTGACTGCTAAGTGCGTTATGTGCAACTTGTTTCCCTACCCTGATGTTAATACTCACCATACTGTTGACCAAAATAAACGCAGCAGGTTGACGACTGTTTGCCACTCCGATCCACCATAGAGGCTTCCGTCACGTAAACACCTTTTAATATCTGTTAACAAGGATGTGGGCACCTGAAAGCCTGGCAAACCCACCCCAGACTGGCAAAGCTTTGGCATCCACGCTCCTAAAGAGAAAAAAAAGCAGCATCTAACCGAATTTAGGGCTGAGCAATGCCCTGTCGATTACGTCGGGTGGCCAGGCTGAAAAGAGAGAAAAACTGGAAAGCCCCCGCTTGTCTACAGGGCCATAAGAGTCAGGGTCCTTCGAACAACAAGAAAAGAAGCAAAGGGGAGTGGTCGGCGGACCGCGGACTGTTTCCAGATTGAAGATGCAAAAAGAAAAAAGAGAGTCAAGCGGTTTCCAAACGTCTTTCTTCTAACGCTCAAGGCGCCAAGGCCGTTGAGCTAGTTTCTGCCACTGAACAACAGTTGCGTTAGAATGCCGCTAACAGGGGATGGTGGCTCAGAGACCAAAACTGCAAAGCCATCCAAAGCCTTCGGCGGTCCCCGTGGCTCCGGTGAAAGACCTCGAGCATTCATTCCCTTGGGACAGCTTCAGATTCCGAGAGCCACAGGGCCCATCTTTCACAACTGCAAGGTTGCCCAGCAGCCAACGCTGTCGTTTCTGTCGAGATGGCCTTGCAAACTCAAAATACTCATCAAGGAGAGAGACTCCACTACTTCATGTTCTCAGCCGCCTTCAATCTCAAGATCCATGCCTGACCATCCTAAATAGATGGCGGCAAGTTTTTTTTTTTTTTTTTTTTTTTTTCTTTGCTGTCAGCTAAAACCTTCCAGGAGCATCTCCCTAGCTAGTCACCACTCCGCATGGTCATTTCGGCCGACCAGATATCTTGCGGACATCGAGGCGACTGGCTTAGTTCACTTGTGGCCTCAGGTCTCGGCACTCTGCCTGGCCCAGCGCACCCGCTTCCCGACCCAAGCAGCCAGTAAGGGGGCTGAAATCTGCGTTTTCCAAGTAGCATTCACAAATGCAATGGTCCAGGCTGCAGTAAACGTGATTTTTGAGGCGCGGTAGCCTCCAGCGATCCAGTAATAGGGTTGTATGTTGATACAGGTGCCGATGGTTGGCTGTTTGGCGCTCAGGCGCTGGACCTCTCACAGCTCACAGAACCATTGTAGAAACTTGAGTGGTTCTTTTGACTCGCCCAATTGACCACTCAAAGTCCCTGCCCAGAAGATCGGTAGACTCAAGCCAGCCATACTCATCACGTTCCACAATTCCACCGCCAAGTATTGGTACCACGGGCAAAAGGTGCGGTTGGTCTCTGCATAACAGTCACATTTTTGAAGAACTAGATACGTATTTCCTGGATCGTCGAACTACACTTGGTTCCCCTGGAGGAATAAGACTCATCCGAACTGGATGACCAACAGTAGGAAGTTTTCGCTAGCCTCTCAACGTTCTTCTTGGAATTGTCCGTCTGTGCATACACACACATACATACATACATAGTATGTGCGTTGGTACCGATGTGCCTGGCATGAGGGTGTGCTGTACTGCACAGAAGGAAAGACAGGCCCAAATAATCCTTGCATGTTTTCCCTATATCATCCTTGTTTATGCATAGACCTGCCCAATTTGGTCAATCCAGGGCAGCCAGAAGGCGTCTACACAACCTACAATAGGCCCCGCAGCACACACCACCACCACCACCGGTTCAACCCTGAACGTCGAAAGGGCGTATTCACATTGCCTCCTCAAAATGAATTGAGATTGCACATCATGCGATTGTGTGTCTACGATCACAAATCGATTTTTTTTTATGAAAGGATTGGTATTGGAGACCTAGCTAGACTGTTCACAGCGTGGTATGAGTTGCAACATTCAGCATACTAGCAAATTTGGGAAAGCCATCCAGCCTATGGCAAAACCTAGCGCGTTAGACATGGCTGTGACGAGAACCTGCCGTTCAATAGTCCCAACGGCGG